CATTCCACTTTTCACATTTTCTACTTTTCTTTCCTTTTCACATTCTTTACTTTCTTTATTTTTCTTAAATTCACGGCGGAGCCAACTCTTTTCTCGCGTTTTGGGTCTGTCCTCCCCGTCATGGCCCTCTAAGGCCTAATGGACTACAACGGGCTTACATACGCGATCGTTCGTAGTCCAACATGCAAAGTTCTGTAATGGGCTTACGTACGCGATCGTTCCCAGAACTATCCTATACTCTAACAATCTCAAACAATACTTTTTAATCTTTAACTTCATTTAACTACCAAACAATTTCCACACATCAAACAATCTTTACTAACAATCAGCAAGTATCAAACATTCCTAAACTTAGCACATATAACCAACAACATCACATTCTATTCCTAGACTAACATGTAAGAACATCTAGTGTTAACTAGTATTAAAGTAATCTAGACAACACCCTCACCTTAGCCTTTATAGATAGATTGACATGGAAGAATGAACATGGAAGAATGAGCTACTGCGAATCTGCGATTAGGAAGCCATGTTTAACATTTCATTATTAAACTTCCTAAAATGTTTATTCAGTTCGGTCAAATTATACCAGTCAGAAGAAAACANCTATAACTTCTTACTCGTANCTCAGATCAAGACAAACTTGGTGCCTCTAGAAAGCCATGACTCGGAGCTTTCNAATGATATCCATATCGTCTTCTGGGTCCTTTCAGAACGACAGAAAATCAGCTCACAAATTCTCTAATCGGATATGAAAATAAGAATTACAGTTTCAAAAACAGTGATGTTTCTCAATATTGAAATACGAATTACGAGCAGATCATACCTCGTATTTTAGAACCGAAAGCTTCTACAAAAACTAGAATCTGTGATCTTTCTAACGACGCCATATCAACATCTAGTTCTTCTAGACTTGGCTGGAAAACGTATGCGAAGTCGGCTGGTCGCATACTCACTCTGTACAGATCAGTCCAAGTAAATCATCCATAACATTCATTCCATAACACCGAATGACAAAATTCTTTCAAATATTACTAGATCAGAGAGTTAAGAATCTGCTTACCAAATATAGCTTCATCCGATCATTGAAAAAACTGCAGCGTAAATTCTCCTCTGACTGGTCGGAAACTCTCACAGCAAATAACAATTATGAGAAAACATCCATAACTTCCATATCACAACTTCAAATGACAAACCGCTTTCTGCCTTGGGTAATAAGAGAGTCAGGAAAGTCCTTACCAAAATTCATATCGATCCGAATAGATTTGATCCTTGGTTTCTATTCCTCACCGAAACTGGTCAAATCTGCGGTTGTTCGAGAATAAGACATATCGCGACAGTTGAAAAGAACAAGCCATAACTTTCACCACAAAACTTGGATCGAGACGTTATTAGATTTTTTGGAAAGCTGAGACTCGGACCTTTCCACAGATATATATATCGTCACACAGTTCATCGGGAATCGTCTCTCAATCCGGCGGTGAAGTTCAGTTCCAAGGGCAGCTAGGGTTTACAAGGTGAAAAGTAAAACGCTCAGGGCTTCGCCGTAGCTGCACTCTTGGTCTTTAAGTCTCACATCCTCTCCCTTTATATAGTGGATGATTAGGGTTTTCGATGGGTTAATTGNGNTTGATGGGNNNGTTTAGCNTTGAAGANGAAACGTTATATAAGCNCAATCCATTTAAATCCCTTTTAAATAAAAATTTCTTCTGTTTCATTTTTCATGTTCGATCCAAAAACATTTCTGCGCAAAAATTAAAAATCATCGGGACACGGTTGTGACACAAACAATTATTGGTCAAATCCGTTCATGCGCAATCAATAAATACGTGAAGATCTTCAAAAACAAAAATAAGGGATGTTTTTTTACGGCTCCCAGACACTCAAATCAATATACAAAACAAACGAAAGAAGAACGAAGAGACCACGGAAAATCGTAGAAAGAAGAGAAAGAATTGTCAGAATATAGAAAGAGATGAAGTGAGTGACTCCATGCTGAATAAGAGATAGTATGTGAGTGTCTGAGCGTTTGAGAGAGAAATTTGAAGGTGAGGTAGAGGGGGGAAGAACAAAGTATTTTAGTGATTATTGGATGAGGTAGAGGGGGAAGAACAAAGTATTTTAGTGATTATCGACGTGAAAAGACTGGGAGAGTAAAGAAATCCAAGGAAAACCCCAAAAAAATGGTCCTAAGCAACACAAAAGAGACTTTAACTCAAGGGAATAGGTTTTAATCTAAATGAGCCCACCGTAAATGTTTTTTTTTATCAAAAAGATCGAATCCTTTCATGAAAAGGATAAGGTAGTATTATAGAATTTTACTAGCTCAAATTTGGATACCAGGCTCCTTGTCTTTAGCTAAGTCATGTTTGAATTTTTGGGTTTGACTTGGTACAGTATATTCGAGTACTTTTCACCTACTTATTTCGCCTTTTTGCACCACTTGGCTGACCATACTACTTTGCTATGCTGCACATGATCCTTTGTACCGTTAGTAAACGTTTGACACGGCATATCAAACATCGGAATGCTCCCTCAGAATCAGTTGCTTTACATTTTGATCACTTCTCCAAGTATGGACCATTTGTTTGTATCCTATCACCTAAAAGGTGAAAGTGTTTTTACCTTTTAACTGAGAATTCAAACGTTAATATATAAAAGATTTGGAACTTGACGTCTATAAGAGATATATCATACATAATTGTCTGAGTTCTTGATACGAGAAGTCGGGTTCTGCATCTTGTCTCCGATTGGTTACACAGAGTGTTGGAATCCATGGGCATTCAACTCCGGATCGCAATTTCCATAAATCTTATCGGTTATGTTTGTAACGGATCCGTGAGGAAGAAGATTCTTGATGAGACCACTGGTGTGATCTTCAACCCAAGCATTCACCTCCATACACACTTCTTCAGCCTTCAAAAACCAAAAAGCTAAATCAACAATCTCATATTTGCCACAATTCAAATAAAACTTAATCTCATATTTGCCACAATTCATATAAAACTTGTCTAGATTTTGCTAGGGATGGGAAAAATACCCGATCCAAACCTGAACCAAACTCTAAAATAATCTTGGCTTCACATTTTGGACCATTGTAGATTTAGCGTAAAGTTTGGGTCCAGATGACTTGGCTTCACATTTTGGACCATTGTAGATTTAGTAGTTGGTAAATTAACTGTATATAGAGCATGTTTTTGTTAATGTCATTGTGAGAATGATGTTTTTTATTTATATCACAACAGGAGCAACGATGTTTCTGTTAATGGCAATGTGAGAATGATTTCAGAAATTTTTTTTCTTTGAAATAGTATCACAATTAAGCCATTCATTTATAATAACACATGTGTTATGATTTTGTCTAACTTATTTTTTTATTTATCCTTATTTTTATGTAGTTTTGGCTCTCGTATAGTTTTTCCAAAGATTTTTAGAAAACATGAATTGAATACATTACAGTACATACTAATTTTCTTTCAAACTAAAAAATAATTACTAACGCTCTTCCGAGTTCAAATCCGACTAGCAATAAAATCACTTGCACTGAGTAAAACAATGGTTTGGTTCATCTGCGATGTCGGCTGGTATACGTGTATAGTCCATACAAAAGAAATTGAATTAGGTCTAATCAGACTTATGTTAGAAACCAGTTGAAAAATTGATAGGAGAAGTTTTATACTTTTATCTATGGGATTAGTTCACCTTTGAAATTAGTCAAAAGCTTATTTCACTCTAGCTAATGTGAGATAATCAGTTTTCGTCGTCCTAATTTGATCATGACCGGATCACCCAAAATTCCATCCCAGAAAAATGTTTACTATGGTGCGTCTGTCGAATACATGTAATTAAATTTTCATAACTTTCTGAAATATGCACCACAAGTTTTTAATTTTTTTATATTTGCACAAATTGTGAAATACTTCTAGTTAAAAAAATATAATTATTAAACTAACTAAGAACATAATCTAAAAACATATACTATTGTGATGGAAAAAAGCTGTCACAATCTACGGGATCCAATAAATAAAGTAAACTAACACATATAAATGTTTATATAGCCAGCTTACCCTGGACACCTAGCTAGTGGCTAAACAAATCTGTATAGTTCTCTCAAAATTCTGTACATAAAAAAGAAGTT